TTTACAAAGCCATTTTGTAAATCATTTCCACTAAAAAATAAAAGTCCGCTGCACCGGATGCAGTTAGGTACCCAATCAGCAGCAGAAAGAAATAAGCAGGAAAATCACACCAGAGAAATTCCAACAACAAAAGATCCCATCAAGCAAAACCTTGAGTCAAGAAAGCAGCACACAAACAAATCACACAGCAAAGTGTGTATTTTGGGTTATTTTAGATTTTTTTTCTCCCTTCACTCTCTAAGTTGGCACAATGTTGTCAGCAATGAAGACCATGTAGAGGAGGCATTTTCCAAACATACAACCTTCACTAATTAAAACGAACTGTAATAATACAGTAAAAAATATAGCACATAACTCCATATTTAAAGTATTATCACATGCACATTGTTTCACTTGATGCCATCCATATGATGCCGACCTACTCACAGCCTAGAACAAGCTGTCAGATGATGGGCATTTCATGTATAATTAGCCAAATAAATTGTTTCTGAGGAAGGGGAACATATTGATAGATGCAGAAAGTGCCTCCTTTTTGAGATTCATTTGTTTATTGGTTCCAAGCTAATAACAGTGGTGATAGAATAAGGAACTAGGTATACACTCACAACATATGACCTGGTGGTTACTTTTTTATTGACACTGCAGCTGGGAGTCTGACACTGAATTATCTTGAGAATTAGCTTTTTGAAATTCATCAATCAAATTTTTGAAAAAGTGTACAAAAGCCACAACCCAAATAGGTTCAGTTGTATCTAAGAACACAGAACGTGGAGTTTTTCCAGTACTCTCAGGTGCCAGGCAGTAACATTTCCCTCTACTCTCCTTTCTGAACACCTGTAGGAATTTTTCACACTCTGAAGTTACTGTTACTGAAAGACATATGCCAAGGGTTGGCATCGCACCATCAGGAACACCAAATAGGCCAATTCAGAATAAGATTCTAGAGGCTGAAATTCTGCTAATGAAATATCAGTACTTCCCTCACTCAAATTTAGCAATAAACTTTAAATAACATACAGTATAAGGACTTGGATGTGAAAGTAACAGTGTCTCTGCTACTACTGGACCAAGTCCTAAAGTCTTTAATCTGTTGATAGTCAATCCTTACTCTGGCAAAATTCTCTTTCACAAAAAAGTCCACTTCGCAATAATGGGCACTAGGGACTCGACCCTCAACTGGTGTAAACTTGCATAACTCCATCATGGTCAATGAAGCTATGCCAATTAGCACCAGCTGAGAATCTGGGCCCAGAGTTTGGCCTACGAGAAGATAAAATGATTACAGTTCATTATTCTTACTGATACCTGTAGGAGTATATGTGTTGCGTCCTATTTCATTATTCACAGTCATACTTGAAGAAGAATGATCTCTTTCCTTTGCAGGGAAATGTGCAGGCTTCACACTATCCACAGTAGTGTTTGTGGGATACTTGTCCTCATCTTTCTCCACTCCAAAATAAACATTATGCAACAAAGGATCTTGGGTTGTGTCTTCATTTTTGGCACCTTCATTGGAGACCACAACTGCTATAAAAATGGTTGAATCAATTTTGAACTTAATATCTGCAGAATCACTTACACTATTACCTTTACTTTCAGTTCTTGTCTCTTTAATGCACCTTATAGGAGTAAAGCCCTATTTATTGTTCTACAGTATCACCATCATCTCAATCATCCATTTACAGGACCCTGACATGGATCCGTCAAAGTGGACGTGGTCAACAACTTTTTGATTTTTCGTTGTACCGGTTTCACTATCATACAGGTGCTTATATTTGTGCTATACAAAGAGGCTATTTTGCTGAGGCATTGTGGGAAAAGAGGGAAGATTTGAAAATCTACATCCTAGTTTTATTCATAGTTGATGATACAGACAAATTAACCAATAATTGAGGCAATATAGAAAGTGTCCTAAACCTTATTAAGCATGCCATTCTTGAACTACAGAGAAAAGCATCCAGAAAAGTCCATGATTACCACCACCACATCAACTTTATCCTCCAAAATTATAAACCACCAACAATTTCACCAGAAAACACGATTGCAATGGCAAGTTCAATGTGATTGCAGAATAAAGGTAGAAGGCACTTTACAAAGCCATTTTGTAAATCATTTCCACTGAAAAATAAAAGTCCGTTCCACCAGATGCAGTTAGGTACCCATTCAGCAGCAGAAAGAAATAAGCAGGAAAATCACACCAGAGAAATTCAGACAACAACAAAAGATCCCATCAAACATAAACTTGAGTCAAGAAAGCAGCACACAAACAAATCACACAGCAAAGTATATATTTTGGGTTATTTTAAATTTTTTTTCTCCCTTCACTCTCTAAGTCAGCACAATGTTGTCAGCAATCAAGACCCCATAGAAGAGGCATTTTGCAAATACACAACCTCACTAATTAAAACTAACTGTAATAATACAGTAAAAAATACAGCACACAACTCCACATTTAAAGTATTATCACATGCACATTGTTTCACTTGATGCCATCCATATGATGCCGACCTTCTCACAGCCTAGAATAAGCTGTCAGATGATGGGCATTTCATGTATAGTTAGCCAAAGAAACCATTTTTGAGGAAGGGGAACATATTGATAGATGTAGAAAGTGCCTGTTTTTGATGACCTTTGAGATTCATTTTGTTATTGGTTCCAAGCTAATAACAGTGGTGATAGATAAGGAACTAGGTATACACTCAGAACATAGGACCTGGTGGTTACTTTTCTATTGACACTGCAGCTGGGAGTCTGACACTGAATTATCTTAAGAATTAG